TTCCATTCGAGCAATGGCTTGTCTAGTGATGTCACCTGATGGTTTCCTCAGAGTATGGCCAATCCATCTCCATTTCTTCCTGCCTATTTGTTTGACAATCGTTTCCTGCTGGGTTGGTTCGCCCCCAGAGATCCCTGTTGCTGATCTTTTCTGGTCAGCCATCTGATCTTAAGTGGTATTGAGCGAAAACAACTGTTAATGAAGGTGTGTAGTTTGTTTGAGGTGCTCTTCATGACACCGCGTCAAGTCTCTGATCCGTATAGTGAGTAGCACTGACTTCACATTGGAGTTGAAAATCCGGATCTCATTTTTGATGCTGAGTGCTGGTTTGACCTCCACACAGACTTGACAGTAGTGAAAGCTTGTCTTGCTTTTCCGATCCTCGCTTTGATATTCTCGTCAGTTCCGCCTGTAGTTGAAACGATGCTTCCAGATAGGTAGGTAAAAGAGGTTGTTTCTTTCAGGTTCCTCCCATTTATGCTGATAGTTGTCTGTTGTTGCTGCTGTTGGTGGTGTTGCCCAGGAATCTTCATCGTCACCTCTGTTTTCTCTATGTTCACCTGAAGTCCTATCTTTGATGCTTCTTCTGTCAACTTGTCGCTTTTCGCTTGCATATCTTCCAGTTTGTGGGAATTCAGACATATATCATCGGCGAAGTCCAGATCCTCCAAGTTCTTGTTTTGTGTGAGTCCATTTTATGCCTGTTTCCTCATTGCCCGCCGCTGTCTGTCGCATTATCCAGTCTACTGCAATCAGGAAAATCATTGGCGATAGTAGGCAGCCAGCTTGTCTTACTCCTGTCCTCACTTCGAAGGATTCCGTAAGTTTCCTGTTGTGGATTACTTGGCATGCAGCATTGTCGTACAGCTGTTGGGTGAGATGTATAATTGTCAGTGGCACCCCATAGTAGCGTAGTAGTTTCCAAATCACCCCCCGATCGACGCTGTCGAAGGCCTTTCCAAAGTCGATGAAGTTGAGATAGATAGGTGACTGCCATTCCAAGCTTTGTTCAATGATGATCCGTAATGTGGCGATCTGATCAATGCATGACTTGTTACTCCTGAATCCAGCCTGTTCCGGTCGAAGTTTTTCATCCAGGGCATGTTTGATTCTCTCCAGTATGATGTGGCTTAGTATTTTGCTTGGGATGGAGAGGAGCATAATTCCGCACCAGTTCTTGCATCGACTTAAGTCTCCTTTCTTTGGTAGTTTGAATAAGTATCCTTTCTTCCCATCCTAGGGTACTTGGCCTTCTTTAGTTATCAATGAAGTCACTGAATACTAATAAATATGTGTTGTATGACTGAATAACAGACATTGTATTTAGGATCGATGAAGGGTTCAAAAGTCAGTAAGAACTATGTGAATCTGATTGTCAGTGGCTCAGAAAAGATGTTTGATAACATAAATACACTTGCCTTTCTACTTGACATCATCAGAATTGTTTCATTTTCTTCTGTCGGTACATCTTCCTGTGTGCGTCGGTGGTACAGCGGCTGGGACGCTCGCCGACCATGCACATGGTCCGGGGTTCGATCCCTGACCACCGACGCACTCCTTTACCTTTTCCTTAAAACTGTGTCTTATTGACTTAAGTAGTCAACGTTCAATTAGCAGATTACAATTTGGATAATTTTACTTGTCATTGTTCCTGATAGCCAGGTATGACTTACAGTTGAGAACACAAATCTTTAGGTTTTTTTTTACAGCTATAACTTTCATCTTTTTAGACACTGATATCCTTCTCAAGACTATACACTACACTACACAACTATAAGTTAAGTGAATTAGTGAGTCGTTGCAAGATTAAATGAGTTTCATATGATATTTTGATAATAATGTACTTTTGTTTCGTATGAGTAGATTCATAGGCACTTTGCTTTGTATTCAAAGTCTTCTTCGGCCAAGAACTTATTTCTTGGTGTCCGTTTTGTACTCATCAGTCAAATAAACACTACGATCTGTTACAAGTTTGTTCATGGGTTGATATGAGTTCGAGAACCATTGAAAACCAGCACTGGAGTAGTTGACAGCTGTTTCGTTAGCCTAGTTTGGGAATTATCGGCAGTACGCATCCACCGTCAGGGTTCGAACCCAGGACCTTCCCGTTATAAAGCAAACTCGTGGAGCATTTAGTCAACAGGACCCGACTCAATGGTCAAATCCTGAATTCTAACTTCTACCAATTCGTGCTTTTAGCCTGACCACTAGTCAGTGTTATTGGTGAGTATTTGGCCTCACTCCCGACTGGGTGAATCCCACTGGTCCAGGTAGGAGTTAGAATTCATAGGCCATTAAGTCGGTTCCCGGTGACTGAATGGTCTATGACCTTGCCTTGTGACAGGAAGGTCCTCGGTCCGAAACCTAGCGGTGGGTGTCCACTGTCAATGAGTCCCAAAATAGGACGAAACAGCTATCCAGTACTCCTTGGTGGTTTTCAATGGTTCTCTAACTGATATAAGTCCGTGGTCAAAATTGAAAAACAAACTAAATCCCCACGAACAAACTCGTGAAAATACATTCATCTATAAATATGCTCTACTTCCTAATGTAGTCGACGCTGAAGGTGACAGAATATTCACTGCCGAATATTAAAGCTCATAGTCTAGAAAACAATTTGCGTTCTTGCCATAAGCCAGTAAACAGTTGGAACTTAATTCTCATCAGTCATATAGATCTCACTTCTAAGTGTTTAGTAACAAGGAAGTTTGGTTTCTTTGGTTTTAGTTTTGACCTGATGACACTGACTACACGAATTTTTAGTGTCAGTAATAATTTATTGCGAATGTCTGCCATTGTGAGACGAAAGACGTAGGCTATCATCTGGAGGGTGACAGTGGTGACACTTAGGTTTCAGGTACATCGTTATCATGAGTACCAGCACGCACAAGGTGTATTTTATTCATCAAGTTTGACCACGGAATGATATCAGTTAGAGAACTATTGAAAACCAGCACTGGACAGCTGTTTCGTCCCAGTTTGGGACTCATCGGTAGTACGCACCTACCGCCAGGTTTCGAACTCAGGACCTTTCGGACACAGTGCAAGCTCGTAGACAAATTATCCTCCAGTAGGCTAAGATAAACTTCTGTCCTATAAATATTTTCCTTTTGTTAACTTGCTTCTCTCATGTCTGGTTACTTTTATTTTCAGCTGATGAGAAGAAATCAAAAGACCAAGAAGGGAAAGAAGAAGAAAAAGAAGAAGAGGATAAAGCATATTCATATACAAAAGCTTTTAGAATAGCTCTAGTGAATTCACGAAGTTCACGTTATCTTATATGCCTTTTGCTTATTTATAAACTCGGGGAACAAGGCGCTATGAATATGCTACCGCTGATGCTTTTTGATCGTGGTTTCTCCTTGTCGAAAATTGGTTTTTGGACTGGTGTACTTGGTCAACTGGCATCGATTACTGGTTCTACATGTGGACATTATATTCAGAAGTATTTCAGGTAGGTCTATTCAACTTATACTATTTGAATATATTTTAAAGTGTGGTATAAGAAACTTTGATACACTCACCATCTACCTTCCTTTCTGTGACGATCAGTTTTCATGGAGTTTCTAGTTGCTCCACATGACTGCAGACAAAACACTAGTGGAATGATGAATATCCGATATGTGTTAAGAATTATCGAAATTAGTTTTAAGTCTCATCACTGATTGATATTAGTCAAAGAATCATTGAAAGTAATCAAGGAATACTGGATAGCTGTTTTGTCCTTGTTTGAGATCCGTCAGGAGTACGCACCCCTTACTCCACGGGGGATCGAACCCACTTGGAAGTTAATCTGATGCTCACTAGTGACCAACTACAAGAGTAGGTTGCCTAGAGTTTTAATGAGAAGTCGTGATCATTGGGATCCACGCAGTCAGGTGTCAGTACAAATACTCGCCGGGTGAAATTAGCTGGTAATAGCACGAAAATCACCAATTGATAAAAGTTAGAATTCATGAGCTGTTAGATTCCAACCTGGGAAACGCACGAAATCCTTCGAAGAAGCGAAGACGGGAGTAAGACAAGCTTTTTTTTCCTTCACGTTCCCCAGTGGAATATAGGGCTTCAAGCTAGTGGCTTGAAGTTTCTGTAGCAGTGTTTAATTTCTACGGGATGGGGTTGCTAGCCTCATGCCCAACCTTTCCTCTTTACCAGCATTATTTCTGGCTCAGCGAGGTAAATGAGTGCGTCAGTGGCCGGTGATCAAACGCCGGACCACGTGCATGGTCGGCGAGCGTCCTAACCGCCATACCACCGACGCACAAGCTTGCTGCCTACTATCTCCAATGATTAATATCCTGATTGCGGTAGACTGGATAATGCGACAGGCAGCAAGGAAACAGGCATAAAATGGACCCACACAAAACAAGAACATGGAGGATCTGGACTTCACCGATGATATATGTGTGATTTCCCACAAACTGGAAGATATGCAAGTGAAAAGCAACAAGTTGGCGATAGAAGAGGCATCAAAGATAGGACTTCACTTCAGGTCAACATAGAGAAGACAGTGGTGACGATGAAGAATCTTGGCCAACAGCAATCGCAACAACAACAGACAATGATCAAAGATGGCTTAGCTTCCAATATCATCATTAAAAGAAGGATCTCACAGTCCCTGAAAAGGACATTCCCTGCCTTTTCCAGTCGACCATTACTGTTCATTACCCTGAAGGACAAGATCCCGCTGTTGACGAACTCTGTATGCGTTTATCAATGCACCTGCTCGTGCAGAGCTAAGTATATCGATTGTTCGACTCAATTTTTGTTCAAGAGGTGGAGGTGATGCAATAGGAAGTGCAACCATTTAACAGAACATGTGGTCAATAATGATCACCGTATCTCTACAGCCTCTAGATCACTACGTATTCGACTCACCTGTATTGATGAAAAAAGGCCATCTATGTATACAGAAAATAGTTCGTTCAACCCCTCCAACTTTGATGGTCTTAATCCCTCTAAGCTAAAGTATGATAATCGCTAATCATATTTTGGCTCTACCTATATTTCGTTTTGTTTATTCAATTTGTATACTCTTCGTTTATTGTGTCAATTGTTACTATCACTATTCTCACTTTGAATTGTTCCCGGTATTATTTCACTTGTTCCACTTGTCATTCTAAATCAATTATGTTTCGCAAGGTTAAATTCTATGTTATCAAATTTCACACAATATTACGTAACGTTTTTATTTTATTCGATTTGTTTACTAATCTTATAATTGCACACCTTTTTCAAGTTCTATCCATCCTATCAATTATTCTGTATATGACATTAATTTGTTTAGCCACTTGACATTTAACTATGATTGTAATCACAAACATTTTTAGTTTTAATTGCATTTCATACTATTATCATTATTTTATGCATTCACACGTATGATTCAATTCCCTCACAGGATATAATTTCTTTACAAAACCCATTTATATACTACTGTACAGGTTCATAATAAACTCGCTGTTGAAAAGAGTTTATTCGCTGAATCGTTTGTTTTGATTTTTTATATGTTGGAGGATTTCATCATGAGCTGACATCAGTTAGGGAACCACTGGAAAACCTGAGAGTACTGGACAGCCAGCTGTTTCGTCCTGGCTTGGGACTCTTCATCAGTATGCACCCAGCGGAGCTCGAACCCAGGGCCTTCTGGTTACAAGGCGAGCTCGTAGACCATTAAGCCACTGGGAACTGATCCAATGACCATGAATTCTAACTTCTGCCAATTCACGCATGACAGCGCGACCTCTTCACAATGTCTTCTTCAATGAGTAACTGTCCTCACCTTCGACCTGCTCTACCCTACTGGTCACGGCTCTTGACTAGAATCCCAGGTTAACTGCCTGAACAGGGTCAGTCGCTGATGAGCATCAGATGTGTAACTGATTTCAGCTCATGATAAAATCCTCTGACCAATCAAACAAAATCTTTACAAAATCAATACTTGAAATTTTTTTATCTGTTTCAATGGGAATTTTCCATGAAGTCGGATACTTTTCCTATCAAAATTTGGCATTACTGTACTAGTAACAATAATAAACAATAGTGCTCACAAGTCTCTCTAACTCACTTTTAGAAAAATAGGTCTCCTCAGGTAAAACAAGAAGTCTTTTTAGAAGAATTTATACACGTTCGTCCAAGTATAAAAATTCCACTATACCATGTTTGCCAGCAAGTATTTTATGTGATGAAAATAGTGTTAGGCATGAACTAACTAACCTTCTTTGCACTATTAAATAAACCATTTCCCCCACCCTTACAACATCAACCTTTATTGTTATTGTACTTCTTATATTTATAATCCTCTCAATTTCTTGTTTTTATTTGTTTATTATTTCATAAGTGTGAACATCATTTACGCTGTGTAATAACTGTTAATTTTGTATTTCCCTCACTATACTATATCTGTAACAACAGAAGGCAAGGGTCAGGCAACAGATCATTTATTAAGGAAATCAACGCATATTTATATATTTTCATGTACATTACTATGGTTATTTAAGTAAACAAACACAGTCTTCCGATTGGTTGTTTCTCACGTAAAGTTAACCTTTCATCTATTTGTGACTGCTTCTTGAATGTCAAATCCTCTATGTTAACTGCATCCGCCTACGCAAAGTCTGCTGTGGTCGGTTTTGAATCAATCTTTGTTCACATTTTCTCACGACAAATCTTGGGAACGTAAATATTGACGTAAATTACTGTCTACCCATTTGGCTAGTAGACAGCTCTCACCACATATCAACAGAACATTAGATTCAATAATCTATAACATGCTAAAATTTCCAAACTGAATCGACAATACTGTTTTAAACAAACTCACTGTGATTATTATTATTATATTTATTATTCTCAATTCGTACTTTGAATATTTTTGACTTTATATCGTAAATGTGGACAAATTCCTCTGATTAGTTTTGTTTTAATTTTTACTTTTATTTGTATTCTGAGTAAACCAGATGGAATATTGTGACAAAAGCTGAGAATCCCACTCCGTGTTATAAGTACTGTTTTTGAAATAAAGTAGATTATTATTATTATGATTTTTGATAAAAAGGTTTTCAAACCACACCTCTGTGCCTAAATGATCAACATATGTACCCTCGGATCACAAAATTTTAGATCAAAGTGACATAAAACCTCCTTTCCAATCTGTACGCAACCTATCACTAAGCGTATCATAATCTTTCGTCTAAAACATTGTCTCTTTATTATTGTAGATCTCCGTTAATTTCTATTCTCTACCTTATGACAATTCGTTTATGCCTACAATGTCCTATATTATTGATTGCTTTCAACTCAGTTTGGATGAGTATGCCTAATGTGTCTTTCGGTAAGTCATCTTTCGTTTTCTTATACACCAATGATCAGTATTTATTATTTTTATTATTACTATTACAAAAGTCCATAATATGAGTAGTTTGTGCAGTGCGATATGACTCACTGGCTTAGTCAGCTAACTTTCTTATGCAATTAAGTTTGTTTACAAGCGATGGTTTATAGGGACTTAATCGATTTCAAGTGGAGGCATAGAGTGATCTTATTTCGAGGACCATGGAAAACGACTTGGAATTATTGGACAGCTATTTCGTCCTAATATGGTACTTTTCAGCAGTACACACTCACCCACATTGTAACGGTAGGAGACGAAAGACTTCTTGGTAAAGGAATGTTTATTTGGAATTTGGTATCTCTATGTAGCTAAATTATGTTACCGTATTTTCAACGCCTCATTTGCACAGATGTTCCGTGGTGTGCCTGCTACTTCTTGCCTTTAGATTGCATTTCTTTGTGTACCTTTCACGTCTCCGATGTACCTCCGCCGATATACTGTGTCATTTGATTTCTCTGACATCAAATCTATCTCTCTGCTATTTGATGTTTTTATGCCGATGAAAGTCTTTTTATATACTACTGATAAATCTTATTAGTAGCACATACCACAATATGACCTTACTGGGGATCTAACCACCAGGGCCTTCAGGTTATGGGGTTTGTGAGCCTGTTTACCCTTCAGCCACTGAGAAGGAATCCATTGATCCGTGAATTGTAACTTTTGTCAATTCACTATATATTTATTACCGCACAGCCGACAGCAAATGTTTGTCCCTACCTCACACACTTTCTGGTTTTCAGTGGTTCTCTAATGGGAGTCATTTTGTGTTCTAACTTAAAGCTAATTTTAATGTTAAATTTAAGTTAATTACACCTTTCTTTTATGATGAGGCTCAATCTTTTTTTCCTCAGTTTCGTTCAAAAGACAATGATAAGTTGGTTGGACATTTAGTCCGGAAATAAAGCAATCAAAATTTACTTTGTGTTAACTTTGACTGATAAGCAGTTAATCGATTTTAAACACTTAATACCTGAGGAGCTTACAAAGAGTGAATGCATCTGTGCCATTGAGAACACTTTTGAGCTATATCACCAGTAGTCTCTCATCCCATCCTATGTCATAGAAAATAGGATTGGTGAAATGTTTTAGTGACAGTAGAGCACAAAAACTGAGTAGTACCAAGGAAAAGCTAAGACAGGAAGTGATACACATAAGAGAAGCCTTGAAACTTAATAATTACCCGGATAAATTAGGAAATATGTAAGGAAATGTAAGAATAAAATAAATAATGATAGTAGTGATAGTGATAATAACAATAATAATGATAATAATAATAGTAATAATAATAATATTATTGACGACACCAACAATAAAGAATCTAAATCATCAGTAGTAATTCCATACAAGGAAGGAACCTCGGAAGCCTTACGCAGAATTCTTAACAAGGCAGGAATAAAAATGGCATTCAAACCCACAAACTCAATTAGAAACAAGCTTTGTCGGTTAAAGTATCCTGTGGAGACTTTAAAGCAAGACAATTTAGTTTATCGAATACCCTGCCTGCTGGAATGATTGTCAGGTCGAATACGTAGGTTAAACTAGTAGAACAGGGGCAGTCAGAGTAGCTGAACATAAAAACCTAGCAAAATCTAGATTGGTTGACATGAATAAGATAAGAAATCTAGAGAATAGTTCAGCTATAGCGTTATATGCAGTTACATACAACCATACAATACGATAGGATAGGATGACAGTTTTAAAATCTAATGTCTTAGGGTATGGGGAGAGATTGATAACAGAAGCTTTTTTTATCGAATCAACTGCAAATACGTGTAGTAGGAATGATTCAACATCTATCCCAGATATCTGGAAAATTCTACTACCCCAGAGAGGACAAACAGAAGAGGACAAAGAAAACTATAAAACTCATGTTTCGAAGTTGTGTGATTATAATTGATATGATTATGAACCGCAATAAATTGTGCTCGAAACCTTGTCATCCAGTGAATAATAATGTTGTTTCACTCACTGCGTGATACATCTAATAGACAGACTAATATGGAATTACTTACTACCACAGTGCCCAAGTTTAACACATATATTAACCAGTAGTCTCTGACGGCTGATTCTTAGCTTTCCGAAAACCCCAACTGGGCAGCCTCACCTCCCTATGCGGTTCATATCAACTGTCCACGACTTCATAGATTGATGTCAGGTTTTGATTTGACCATCCGCTAACTCTTTTCCAACTTGATCCTCTGCTGCCTAACATTACTCATCGAAGGAGGAGTTGGCTCAGCATGCGCAATACATGTCCTAGCCATCTCAATCGACTTAGGCTGAAAATCTCATCGATTGACTTGCATTCCTCAATTAACACTCTATGCTTAACCTCATTATTACTCATTATATTATTATACGTCAGAATGTGGGGAGCGAGGAGATACGAATACGTTGAACCAGTGATAAGAAGACTCTAACAGACCTGGATTTCGTGGATAATATACGTCCAGTGTCATAAAAACTCGAAGACTTACGAGCAGGAGAAAACCAACAAACTGACTGAAGTGGCAGTCAGCGAAGATAGGACTCCAGGTGAACATAGAGAGGACGGAGGTGATTAAGATAACCAACGGAACGCAGCAACAACAACCAGCACCAATCACCATCAATGGGAGAGATTTGAAAGAGGTTACCTCCTTCACTTATCCAGCTTCGAAGCATCGTTTCAACTGCAGTGAGCAGAACGGATGAAGATGTCAGTCAGATTCGGAAAGGCAAGATATGCCTTCATCAACCTGAAACAAATTTGGAAATCTTTTACATTCAGTTACCATTAAGAACAAAGTTTGGATTTTCAAAACAAATGTGAAGTCAGTCAGTTCAGTCACGTAAACGATTTACAACAAGTTACAGATGTTTATGAACAGTTGCCCCCTTTACTAGCTCCATACTGAAGATCAAATGACCAGCTGGCCAGAAAGAATCAGCAACAAGAAACTCTGGCTGGGAACAAACCAACCAAGAGCCGATCACTCAACAAATATGTAAGAGAAAATGAAGATGGATCTGACATACTTTGAGGAGGCCGTCAAATGACATCGTTCGCGATGCCGGCCATCACTCGAATGGAATCCAAATGAGAAGTGACGAGTGGGCCGTCAGTGCTAGTGACATGGATGAGAAGAGGAGATGAGAGATTATAAGGAATCGTGGACTCAGCTGAAGAGGATGGCAGAAGATAGGACAAATTGGAGATGTGTTGTTGGAGCCAGTCCTATGTTCCACTAGGAACCCAAGGAAATAATAATAATATTGTACTACTTGATACGAGAGATAAAGCGCAGGCATCTGAGGTGAAAAACAGATGGCCTATTTTAGCATCTATAACAGTTGTTGGATAAAGCAGGATGACAATCACGTCGTTACATTTTAGTGTATTCTTCTTAATTTTATATAATAATAGCTTTACTTTGCACAATAAGTTTCTACAATATACAGAACTTTCAGTTTAGTTTATTGGATAGTATTTTCTCTTCATTTATGATCTTCAAGTGATGAAATGGCAATCCAAATTACCTCATTTGATGTAATGCTTTTTGATCTGAAGAATAAATAGAATATTCCTTGACGGTATTTTTCATTCGTCGCCAAGAAGTGAGTAGTAGCAGCAGCAGATTGAAAATCAATATGCGTAAGTGAGTACACATCTGGCGACTCAAGGACATAACGGAGTGGTTAAAACACAGAAATCGAGATTGAGTGGCTGACTGACTGACTGGTTTCAGCATAGTACTTTGCACAGATATGCACCAGTTCCAGTTACCACACTCCACTCCATGTACCATACACAACGCAACAGAAGAGAGTACAGACAGACAATAAACAGAAGTGTGAATCAGGCAAAAACAATAGTAGGGTAACAACAGAAGACAAGGGCCAGGCAACAGATCGTTTATTAAGGAAATCAAAGCATATTTATATATTTTCATGTACATTATTATAGTTTAGTTAAGCAAACAAACACAGTCTGCCGATTGGTTGTTTCTCACTTAAAGTTAATCTTTCATCTCTTTGTGACTGTTTCTTGAATGTCAGATCATCTATATGTTAACAGTATCCGCCTACGCAAAGTCTGCTGTGGTCGGTTTTGAATCAATCTTTGTTCACATTTTCTCACGACAAATCTTGAGAACGTAAACACTGACGTAAATTACTGTCTACCAATTTGGCTAGTAGACAGCTCTCATCACAGTAGTAATATGGAAGAACAATATAATCATATTGGATATAACAAATCATAAAGAGTGAATGCATCTGCACCAGCCATTGAAAACGTGGATTTCTAGCCATATTCACCAATTGTCTCCAGCCTTCATTGGTTCTCACCATCCCGAGGACCCCAAACCAGACAGACAGTCTACACCTCCATACGCAACTGGCTGGCTGACTTAAACTAACTGTTATGGATTTTACTGAGTAATAAGGCCATGTTTCGGTTTGATCACCACTAGCTCTTTTCCAATCTGATCAATCCTATGTCAGCTAAAACTGCCCGTCAAGAAAACTTTATGCATTGTGGAAGATGGAATTCCAGGTAGCCCAATGATTCAACCTTTTCTCCGTAAGTAGATTAGAGTCCTGTGACCTACTTACTGAAAGTCACATGGTTCAAAAACTATAAACATTTACTGAATACATCAAGAAAAGCAGTGAAGAATATAGTTTTGTCATTTTTTAAGTTCTTTTGTGTATTGTTATTATTATTTCCTTGGGTTCCTAGTGGAACATAGGACTGGCTCCAACAACACATCTCCAATTTGTCCTATCTTCTGCCATCCTCTTCAGCTGAGTCCACGATTCCTTATAATCTCTCATCTCCTCTTCTCATCCATGTCACTAGCACTGACGGCCCACTCGTCACTTCTCATTTGGATTCCATTCGAGTGATGGCCGGCATCGCGAACGATGTCATTTGACGGCCTCCTCAAAGTATGTCAGATCCATCTTCATTTTCTCTTACATATTTGTTGAGCGATCGGCTCTTGGTTAGTTTGTTCCCAGCCAGAGTTTCTTGTTACTAATTCTTCCTGGCCAGCTGGTCATTTGATCTTCAGTATGGAGCTAGTAAAGGGGGCAACTGTTCATAAACATCTGTAACTTGTTGTAAATCGTTTACGTGACTGAACTGACTGACTTCACATTTGTTTTGAAAATCCAAACTTTGTTCTTAATGGTAACTGAGTGTAAAAGATTTCCAAATTTGTTTCAGGTTGATAAAGTTTGTTTTTATCTACTTTGACTATATTCACAAGAAACAGCAGCTGTCCATTGTTCCAATGTTCTAAACTTAACATAAACAAATGGAAAATAGAGAGAAAAGAATAAGGAGTCCAACAAAGACATCTAATCTTTTCTGTGATTTCATCCTCAAAAGCAGATTTACAATCGCACTGATATACATAACTTTTTATTCGTACAATTATTATTATGTAATTTCATATAGTAACGAAGAATGTTAAGGGTCATAATAATTTTCAACTTGACATGAAAGTTTGAAGGTGTGAATATGAAGATTACAAGGGGTTTGGAAACAAAATTATACATAGCTAATTCTCCTTGTTCATTTTCCGATTCAAATGTGAATTTCATTCCCTTCACTAGTGAGTTTATATGTGTCAAGAAGCTAGAGATATGTTCTGTTTTTTACACTATGTGTGAACGTGTCACCCACATATCTCAGCCGTATCTTTGGAGAAGGATTAAATGTTGTATTAAGAGCTATATTTTCCCAACTGTCCATAAAGATATCTGCTACGATAAGGGATATTGGTGATCCCATTGCTACACCTTCAGTTTGTCTATATATTTTGCCTTGGAATCTAAAGATAATAGACGTGAGGCATAATTGAATTCCTAAAATTACTTACGCAGTGGGTATCTTTGTTCCATGAGTCAGTTTGGTATCAGCAGTTTTTTCTTTTTTAAGGCCGTACTAATTGGTATATTGGTACAGAGACTAGTTATATCAAAGTGTTACTACCACTTAAACCAAGAGATGAGAAATAGTGGTCAGAAAGTTGTGTGAGTAACCTGATATGATTATGAACAGCAATTAAATCGTCCTCGAAACGTCGTAACCTCAGTAAATATTGTAACGACAGGAGACAAGGGCCAGACAACAGATTATCTATTGAGAAAATCAACAGATATTTATAGATTTTTATGTACTTTATTAGTGTTATTGTTAGCAGAGAAGCAGCGTCTTCTGATCGGTTGTTTTCTTGCTGTAGGTTATTCCTAGACAGTCGGCTCATATATCTGCAAATCGTATTTGCACACGTCAAATCTGCCGTTATTGGTTGGTGAGCCCCTCAAGGTTAAGCTGTGTTATTGTTTCTCCTCATGACCCCAATTCAGGACGTAAACACTGACGTAAATTATTGTCTACAATTTCAGCTGGCAGACAGCTCTCACCACATTAATATTACTGTATAACAAACACTGTGAGACACTTTATCATAACAAATTTTCTCCATGATACAATTGGTGAGTTGTCGTGTTTCTTCTCCAGTGGTATCGTCTGTACAAGCGTCTGAACAAGCACTTAAAGAATGCCTCTTTTTATACTCCAATAAAGTGTGACCTAATTGTGTCTTCTTCCCCACGTCCTCACTGCCAAACGCTTTTTTTCTTTCTTTCTTTCTTTCAACCTTTTTTTAATTCAAGGGATAGGTTGTTTATTTATGAATTGTATATTATTTACCAGTGGTGCTATAACAACAATTATGTTCACATTAATGATGTATTGTACACGCAGTGAAACGTCTACAGAACATCAAGCCACACACTATACAATATTGAGTACAGCAGAACTTTTAGGCAAATTACTCTTCAGTACAGTGGCTGCTTATGCAACAGATATTTGTGGATATACACTGACCAATATAGGATTTTTCGTTCTATCTATACTTCCAGTTGTATATATGAATAAGTATTATAGAAAATTTCAATTTTGTCCATGAATTGTATATAACTTGGTAAGTAAAATCGTTTTGTTTTTGGTTAACATTTTTCTTACATTTCGATTGCGGATTACACGACATTATTATTATCATCATTATTTTAAATTTCAGCTCTTAGATTTCGTCATCAAGCAGCATCATTTAGAAAGAGAGAGAAAGGAAGAGAGATCCCTAAAAACTGAGGGATACTGGAAAACTGTTTCACCCTACTTTAGGACTCTTCATAAGTGCACACCCATGAGCCCACCAGGATCAAACATAAGACCTTCAGGTTATGCGATGAAGCTCGTTGACTATTCAATCACTCTTGGGTCGGGATTTGATGACCCCTGAATTCTAAATTTGTTAACTCGTGATATATAGTGCCACCCTCACCTTTGTTGCCTTCGATGGGCATCCAATTTACTTTCGTGGACATGGTGGATGACATCCCACGAACTCTCACTTCGGCTTTAGGATATCCATCTATTAGCCATCATTCAGTTGGATATTGATATTTAGATTGTGGTCCTGTAACCTGCAGATCCTAGATTCTATCCCTGAAGGGGTTGGGGTGCGCGCTGCTGGAGAGTCCTAAAATAGGACGAAACGGCTCTCCAGTGCTCCATGGTCTTCAGTGATCTGTCAAACTGATGTTGGTTCGTGGCGAAATCTAACAAGTAAAATTAAATTGATCCAACTCCCCACGAATCCCGTAATCTAGTTTTTACTATTAGTAGTAGTATTAGTACTATTATTGTTACTCATACCTTTAACATACACTTTGAGGGCGAGGCTCACATATATCTCCATGTTTCTTTCGGACGTGGTGCGATCGGAGAGCCAATTTATTAACTGCTTGAGACGCATTAACCCTGGCAGAGGCGCCGGGTTTATTCAGTCTCCATCTCCTCTGAAATACCGTCCAGCTGGGGAAGGCAATTTTCACCTTCTCGAGCTATAGGGGCTTGCTTGTAACAGACAGTGCCGTGGGCCGTTCATGGGACCTATCTTCACGGCTTCGATTCAATATGTTCCGGATTTTATGGCGAACGACAGGCCCAAATTCCACCAGTATTCATGACACCAGCCATAGCTATATATATATGGTCAGTGCCACTATCCCAGCAGAACTGTAACCCGCCGCTGCAACTGTCGTTTGCTACAGTTATACCTCGCATAAACGGTTTAATATGAAGGATCAACATATATTCTGACAAGTCATAGTTATTCCCACCGTTTACCTGCGCTTATTTGAATTTCTTCACCTTGAAATTCAGAGCACTGGGCAGATAATGACATTGTGTCATAACCGGTCAGTGGACATTGCAATGTTTTGTCTGAATTAGACAGTCGGATTCTCCTGGTTCGTACCAGTTCTGAGTTAACCGTCGCGCGCCAAACAATGGAAGCACGGCCGCTTGACGCAACGCAGAGCAAGTCCACGCGCGTTGCTAGCCATACAACACTAACGGCTAAAGCGCCCATGATCGATCACGGTCAGAGTCCAGTAACTCCACAACAATGCGCACCGAAGTACACAAAGCAGCAGCAGTTATTTTCTCTCTCTCTCTGTCGTTCCAAGTAGAGTATAGGACTTTAGGCTTTGAAGTTTCAGTAGCGTTTGTGTTGCTTTTATAATGTGGGTTTGCTAACCTCACGCCTAATATACCCTATTTACTGGGCTTACTACCGGCTGGGAATCGAACCCCAGACCGCAAAATTAAAATCAGTCAGAATACCATAAATAACTTAAATGTTGTATGATTAACAACAACTTTACGCTCATTGTCTACAGGGTACGCTAAAAAAACAGAGCTTGTGAAAAATACCTATTAGGATATTAGAAAGAAGAGAACACGAAGTTCAGCAAAAATATCTGTCTTTTCGGCGATTTCACTCTCAAAAGCAGATGTACAATCGCATTTAAATACATAAATTTGCATGCATTCAATTATTATTATTTAATTAGACGTAATTACGAAGGTGAATACAAGGTGACAATTACTTTCAATTTGATATGGTTTACGAGAGGCTTACAAACAAAATTACACAGGATTAGGATGAATTACAGGTGTGAACCAAATAAGCATGGAAACAAACTGAAATAATAATTTTCAACTTGAGATGTAAGTTAGGAGGTGTGAATATGGATTACAAGGGGCTTAGAAACAAAAATTACACAAGATTATTTTAAACGAATTACAAATGTGAGCAGGAAGAGCATGGAAACAAACTTGAAATAACTGTTCTTATAATTGAAAAATGGGATGAATTGAATAAAGACGAAGAGAGAAAAATTACGCACACATACAGTGAACAAAAAAACCGAAGGCTAAGGGAACATACCGAACTAGGTCCATGGTAGTTGTAGAGGTTGGACTAATTTCTTTTGAACACACAGGTCCGGATTTTCGATGCATATTGCGAGGGCTTCTGTAGTACAAAAAAGTCGGAAACATACTGCATTTGGTATGTAAATGTGATTGTACAGGTTTTGAAAATAAAATCGCCGCAAAGATATCTTTTTTGAACTTCGTGTTCTCTTCTTTCTAAAAGCAAGAGCTACAAATAGATCTTGTTTGTTCCTTGCTTAATCATGCAGGATGATGTTCGGAGATATGATGATGGACCTGCATAATTGTATATCCAATGTAGCTGGCTCCTCAGCTGCAGTCAAATTGGTAGATACATAGAGAGGAGGCGAATGAACTTGAACGCTCACTTATTCCCTAATTACTCTTCACTTTGCTTGGAGGATTTCATCATGAGCTGACATCGGTTAGGGAACTGTTGGAAAACCTGAGAGTACTGGACAATCGTTTCATCCTAGTTTGGGACTCTTCATCAGCACACAACCACCGGAGTTCGGGCCCAGGGCCTTCTGGTTACAAGGCTAGCGAGCTCGTAGACCATTAAGCCATTGGGACCTGACTCAATGGTCAAACCGTGAATTCTAACTACTTTCAATTCATGACATAGCGCGACCACTTTGCAATGCCTTCTTTGGTGAGTAACTGTCCTCACCTTCAACCTGATGTACCCTACTGGTCACAGCTTCCCACTAGAATCCTAGTTTAACTGCCTGAATAGGGTCAGCCGCTAATGAGCATCAGATGTCTAACTGATGTCAGGTCATGATGAAATCCTCCAACCAATCAAACAAGATCCCTACAAAAACCAAAACTCTTCACTTTTCCAAATTTATCCATTATGCAATCTGCTTGTTGTAACTATTTCTAACCTTTAATTATTTGTATTAATTTTCTTCGTTAACTGCCTCCCTCCTTAACAGGTTGATACTGCTTAATAATTATTGTGCGTCGGTGGCACAGTGGTTAGGACTCTCGCCGACCATGCACATGGTCCGGGGTTCGATCCCCTGCCGACGTACACCTGATATCAATGGTCGGCCTGCAAAATTTGGGCTACCGATATCACATGCTGAAAATTTCATACTTGTAATGAAAATACGGTGTGACATCAAGCTGTAATAAAAAAATAATAATCAGATAAAATGATTGGTTAAATATTGTGTATTGTATTAAAGATGCGATAAGTGTATATTAGAGTAGATCCAGAGAAGAGAATCTAATTGAAAAGTCAATATTTCTTCACTCAATCGTTTCTCCTTCTAGAAGTTTGAATTCATGGGCCATCTGATTGTATCCTAGTGGCTGAATGGTGATCAACGTGCAACTTAAAAGTTCTGGGTTTTGATCCCTAATACTGTTGAAGAGTCCCAAACAGGGATGAAACATGCATCCAGGTCCAGAAATGTTAAGAGTCAAGACATATTTCTCTGGATTACTACTTTTTTCATTTGAAATGAAAACGGTACAATACGGTTACCGAAAGGTGTCCCACACAAAATAACATAGTGATAGTATGTTTATCATGTAAAATCAAAAGAGCATTCATCACCTCACAAACTTTCACAAATAGAAAGAAGAAATAGAAATTGCAGAACATTGATTAACTAAGTGATGTTACATAATACAAATAAAGATTTAGAATAAGAAATTAAACAGCTACCACTTTTCGCCAGTTTTACACTGACCCCTAAATTTATTTTTTTATTTTACGTTGGTCACACAGTATTTTTCGTACATCTATGTAATTTTTAGCATGTGATATCGGTAGCCCAAATTTAGCAGGCCGACCATTGATATTAGGTGTGAGTTGGCTGGGAATTGAACCTCGGACCATGTGCGTGGTCAGCGAATGTCCTAACCTCTGTGCCGCCGACGCACATTTGTAGCTCTTTTTTAAGCGCAACTTGTAGACAGTGAGCGTAAAGTTGATGTTAATTATACAACATCACATTCCGACTAATTTTAACTTTGTCGTCTGGAGTTCGATCCTCAGTCGGTAGTAAGCCTAGTAAATATAAGTAGTTATATTTCTTCTACACACAATTGGATTTCTTTACTCTAATTCATTTTTCTGTATAATGTAGAGATTTCCGTGATTTCACCTTTTTGCGAATATTTTCCTTTCTTTTTCAGGATAAATGGTGATATTGTTTCAAGTGAACATGTTCGAATCTACAAGGTTTGCTATACTTACAAGTTTCCACAGAATAATCTGGAATAAAAAGGATGCGTCTTTCATTTTTCAACAGTTATACCTCATAGCTTCTTTTTTTTTCTGTATAACCCCTGTGACATTGGCCTGGGTGGTAGGTTATGGGAAGAATGAGCTGTCGAAAAGAAAAAGCCACACAGACACGATTTCTTCTTGTATGATCTTACTGCTTGTTTTTCAGAAGAATTTGGTGTCTTAGTACTTCTTTGTGTATTATCTGTTGTTATTGTATAAATTGGTTCTTTCGTAATTTGCGTGCGTTTGTTGTTTCTTACATGCCGAATATTTATCCGTGAAGCATATTTCATAGATTATGAAATAAGGGAATGTTTTCCACGTAGAGTTCCACGTGTGTGTTAGTCTGTATTAGTAGAGGTGTAACTAATCGTGAGAAAATTTATTCCCCGCCCTCCTTGGTATCTTTCAGCTTTGTGATGCAGTCAGTTATCATCGACACACTGCCTACCTAGTGGTCATCTTAATGTCAGGAAAAAGTTTGAGCATTGTGGAATAGATCAAATAAAGGATAATTATATTTCAATGGTTTACAAACAATAAAAGTTGTTTTCTGGTCATATTTAGAGCAAAATTACTACTGTCCGTGGTCATCTTACCAACTTTTGGAATTGTTTTCTTTTTTAATTCACACATTAATGATATGTACTCATATATATAGTCTTTACTTTTTTGTGCATTAACTTTTGTGCATTCAGAATTATATTGCAGGTGGCTGGCTGGCTGGATTCAACATAGAACTCGGCACCGAAGTGCAGCAGTTCGAGTTGCCACGTTCCAAATAGCACACAAAGGTAGACAAGAAAATTAGTGAAGAGAATCAATAGAGTTTTGACAGGTATAAGAGTGAAACAGAATGGGTAATGGTAGAAAGGAATATGAAAGATTACAGAGACTGAATACATCTGCGTAAGTCATTGACAACGATTTTGATCCATGTCACCTATTGTCTCCAGCCATTGATTCTTAGAGTCCCGAGGGCCCCAACCCGGATGTCTACATCTCCCTACCTGACTCAGTCTAGCTGTCATGGATTGACGCCATGTTTTTGTTTGGTCACTGCTTACTCTCTGCAGTTGGTTGACAGTTGTGCTGCTGAGTCACCCTTGTTACATGCATCCGGTGTGACCTTAATGAATATAGATTCTGTTATAAGTCTCCCTTTCCATTTGTTCATATTAGATTTCAGAATACAATACAAACACCGTCCCAATCAATATTGTGGTTTTTGTCCCATGCATATGCAGTTGTAAATCAATTTTGTTTTCTAAATTGTTGTAAGCTTGTGTTCCTGTTGGATGACCTTCAGTTCCCTCGTTTTACCTTCTTTTCTCTCTGTTTTATATTATCTTTTATAAATTCTTTTGGGTAGTTGTTGTCGAGTTACATCTGGAATAAGACGTTTATTTCTTTTCTCTGGTCATTTGGTGTTGCTGTGTAAGTCTACGTATTCTATCTGCAAGACTTTGTATTAACTCTCGTTTTACCGTGAGTGAATGAGCTGAGCGATAATCAAGGAATCTCTCAGAAGAAAAAACAGGACGGTAAAACCAGAGAATGACAAGAAGGAGGAAGTCAGAAAAAAACAATCACAATACCATACAAAAATGGTACATCAGAGGCAATTCGAAGAAACCTCAAAAATATCAGGATTCATACCACATTTAAACCGACGAATCTAATTAAAAATAAAATAAATCAACTGGAAGATCAAATAAAAATGATGGATAAAAACAATTTGATTTACAAAGTATCTTGTCCCGAGTGTCCGACTAAATATGTGGGTCAAACGTCCAGATCACTCAAAATAAGAGTGAATGAACAAAAACGCCTAACTAAAGGTCATCCCACAGGAAAACAAGCCTACACCAATTTAGAAAACAAAATTCGTCTATAGCTGCACTTGCATGGGACAAAAACCACAATATCGATTGGAACAATGTGTGTCATATGAAAAAGAGAAGACATTCAGCGAAGAGACTCTTTTCGGCGAATTCATTCACATAGCTGTACAATCGCATTTATATATAAATATTTGTGTGTGTGTGTGTGTGTGTGTACATGAGGTTTGTCAAGTTAAGATAGTTGATTAGTTAATACAAGAATGACAAAGTTAATCAGACAGCAACTAAAGTAAGACTGAGTTAAAAAACTAGATGACGTAATATAATTGGCTAAAATGTTACAACTTAGGTCAGGATAGCAACAGAGGTAATTACAGGTAGAGATTAAGTAGAAGTGAAATTGAGTGAATAAGTTGGATGACGTAACATGAATGACTAGAAACTGAGCGTTGTTCAAGTCAGTAACAGTGGTAGTGGGGTGTAGAGATTGAATCGGGTGGGGGTAGAGAACAAGAAAGTTGAGAATGTAAAATGTTACAATTGAGAAGACAAAATAATACTAATGAAGAGACAGAAAAAAAAGATTAGGTAGAATTTACATGTCGGCTAATAAGATAGATTACGTCCATTGCAAGTGTAGCGATTGAACGAACTTCTTCTGTATGCAGAGTTCAGGACTTAGCAAGTGAATCGCCATTGCTTCTGCTTCCCTGAGCTAGAGCGAAACGTCTACTCAAGAGCTCATGCAGTCGAAGACTTAGATCAAGAACTACGCCATTCCTTCGAAGAATATGTACAACAAGTCACTCAGAAAGAATGTAACAAGACTAAAGCAGATCTTCTCAAAAGCCTAAAGCCTACAATTAATACCGAATCTCCGTTCCCAAGCAATCCAGAAAAGTACGTATTCAATCTTTCAGACATCACACTGTCTACTACTCAACTAGAGGCACTATCTCTAGGTCCGAAATTCTGCGTAAAACCACCAAGTATTGACAAGCTACAATGCCAGGTTCAGTTCGAAAATCTAATAAACCAGACTTACGATCTCACACCTACATCAGACGAAAACCTACAACAATTCAAAGCATCAATCCTCGACTGTTGTCACAAGTTTATAAATACCAAACACAACGGAAGGTCCATCTTGACGAAGAGGCACCATAAGGAGCTGAAAGAACTTATGAAAAATGAAGAGATTATGATATTACGTCCTGATAAAGGCGGAGGAATCGTAATCATGAATCGCAAGGACTATATCAGTAAAATGCTGACTATACTATCCGATGAATGCAAATTCACAAAACCGATCAACGAGAAAAACATGACTGAACAAACCGAACAAAAGCTAACGGACATCCTTCGTAAGTTGAAGACTGAATCCTTCATCAGCAACGAAATGTTCGAATCCCTTAGACCGTCTGGCTCAAATATACCACGACTTTACGGACTCCCGAAAGTACACAAGAAGGGTATCCCTCTTCGACCGATCCTCGACATGACCAATTCACCCTATCACCGCACAGCTCAATGGTTAGCAGATCTACTTGAACCAATCAGAAAACAAGTTTCCTGCCACACAGTTCGAGATTCATTCGACTTTATCGACTCAATCGAAAATATCAACGTATCCAACAAGACAATGATTTCATTAGATGTCACATCACTATTCACAAACGTTCCACTGACTGAAACAATACGCTACATATGCGAACTTATTCACTCAATGGGAATAAACATCGGCATACCCACCGAGCATCTTAAAGAACTCCTACTGAGGTGTACCCTGAATGTTCAATTCTCTTTCAACAACGAAATATATCGCCAAATGGATGGTATAGCTATGGGCTCACCACTAGGCCCTTTGCTTGCAGATTTCTTCATGGCAAAACTCGAAAACACATGCCTGAAGAAACTGATCAATACCTTCGAAATCTATAAAAGATACGTCGACGACACCTTCATTATCGTCAACAACGAAGAAAATCTAGACGACATCTTAAAGTCGTTTAACAACTGCCACCCTGCAATTCAGTTCACGATGGAGAAAGAGTCCAACTCCACAATATCTTTTCTTGACGTCCAACTAACCAGAAGAGAACAGGATGGAACACTGAGAAGATCTATCCACAGAAAATCGACGTGGAACGGACAGCTTACTAACTTTCACAGTTGGGTACCACTATACACCAAACGAAACCTGATCCGTTCACTCAGCTACAGAGTTCGCAGAATCTGCACCCCGGACACCGTAGAAGATGAACTGGACAACCTCAAGAGAATCCTCGTCGAGAATTGCTATCCAGAAAGATTTATTGCAAAATCTATGAATCCTAGACCAGAAAGGCCGCCCATACTCAGCGTCAAGAAAAAACTACTCTACATGAACCTCCAATTCAATGGAGATCTATCTGCGGAAACACTAAAAAATCGACTGTCTCGCTCACTTAAGAAGACCTTCTTCGCAGCTGAACTACGACTAACCTTCTCCACAAAACCTATGATTCATGTGAACGTGAAGGATAAGCTACCGCTGCTGGCCTCATCAATGTGCATTTATCAATTCACCTGCTCGTGTGGAGCCAGGTATGTTGGCCGTACCCAGCGCTCGCTTTCCAAACGTATCACCGAGCACTTACCAGCATGGTTTTACAAAGGAGAAAATCGATGCCCCCGCAGTTCCATCTTAGAACATCTGATAGAATCCGGACACCAAGCTACACCGCAAACAAACTTCAAAGTCGTCTACAGAGTAAGAGGTGGTCTCCCTAAAGGTGTACGAATCAGACTTCTTCAAACTGCAGAAGCAATGGCGATTCACTTGCTAAGTCCTGAACTCTGCATACAGAAGAAGTTCGTTCAATCGCTACACTTGCAATGGACGTAATCTATCTTATTAGCCGACATGTAAATTCTACCTAATCTTTTTTCTGTCTCTTCATTAGTATTATTTTGTCTTCTCAATTGTAACATTTTACATTCTCAACTTTCTTGTTCTCTACCCCCACCCGATTCAATCTCTACACCCCACTACCACTGTTACTGACTTGAACAACGCTCAGTTTCTAGTCATTCATGTTACGTCATCCAACTTATTCACTCAATTTCACTTCTACTTAATCTCTACCTGTAATTACCTCTGTTGCTATCCTGACCTAAGTTGTAACATTTTAGCCAATTATATTACGTCATCTAGTTTTTTAACTCAGTCTTACTTTAGTTGCTGTCTGATTAACTTTGTCATTCTTGTATTAACTAATCAACTATCTTAACTTGACAAACCTCATGTACACACACACACACACAAATATTTATATATAAATGCGATTGTACAGCTATGTGAATGAATT